CAGACCTTCTATATTGGAGTCTTAAACTAATCTAAGTTAAAAATCTGCCAGTCAGCATCCACCTTTATATTATCATCATTAGCATATCAACTTCCTCATTGCTGGGGCATAGGCCTGCTCAATAGATGGAATTTCTGTGGATAATGCGCATGTCTTCCTAGAATAGTCCAGTTACTCTTCTTTTAGTGTAGAATCTACGCGTAGTAGAATCGACACACCTTGCAATAAATACAAACAGATGGTTTCTTTGAAATAAAAAATAGTCGTATTATTGAAATCGTTTAATAATGAGGAATTATATAAAAAAAATTGTTCCTGAAATCAAACTAGATGTCGCTACGGTACGTTCTTGATTTCTCCATGACAACCTTTCCGGTTTTCTTCCAAGTTTAAAAGTAAATTTGTTTTCAAAACTCAATAAGCACCTCATATTCTGTTTGTAATTTTTCGTATTGACATCTAAGTTTCAAACTTTTCAAATTTCAGTTTTAATATGTTAGTTAAAAGGAACGGAAATTACTGTCTTTGGTCCATTCGTATACCTGCAAAAATCAACTTTTGCCAGAGTCGCCATCTAGTGGAGGTGCTTTTTAGTGCTCTAGTTTTTTTTTAAATACACCCTCGTTACGCCGTCATTTTGCTTGGATCTAGAAATTTTACTACTTTCAGTTTAAGGGCTAAAAACAGTCTGATTCTTTGCTTGTGCAAGATTCTACGACTGATTCTTATAGCGACTTGACGCTCACCTTGTTCTTGCTTTCTCAATTCAGCATTTTCAGAGAATTAAGTGCGTGACACAAAATTAAATTTAATCAATGGATATTCTACCATCTCTTCAATTTGTAGCTCATTTCAAGTATTTTATGATCACTCATAATTATCGGCATTTCAATACATTTTTATATGTATAAGTATCTCGTTAATAGTCACCCATATATTATTTTGATATAGTTTTTAAAAAAATCGGGCAAACGCATGTCGGTCTCGTGCATTCCTCATCTTAATGATAAAAAATACAAAAATCCACGGTTGGTGATTTCAAAAGAGTTGTTTGAAATTTTCGAGATGAATAAATTAAACTGACTATTAGTTGTAAACTTGTAAAGCTAAAGTATATTTTAAAAATACTTATCTAATGATACTCCACGCTATGGGAAGGTAAATAAATGTTAAAACCGAAAAATTTTTTTTTAGCGATTTTATTATACCACTTTCTCGGTGTGATCTCGGTGTAATACACCTTTCCAATGCTAATGGTTTTTGAGCTAAACCGCGGACTGAAGGACAGACAAACGAACATGATCGAACCCTAGAAATTGTAAAATTAAAAATAAAAGCTACTTTGTTGGATAAAGCTCGGAAAAACAAAACATTGAACATTCAAAATCCCATTTTAAAAGTTAAGTAGCGTCATCTAGTGATCATTACCGTCGGCTAAATGTAATGTCTATGTAACGCGACAGCGATTGTACCGATTTGATTATTCAAAATTTATTTAATCCTGCTTAAATAATTTAATAATGGATTTGGAAAAGGATGGGATGGAATTTATGGCAAATTAAATTGTAAACAATGGTTGCTTTGGTAACGATTTAATGCCCTAAAGGAACTTCTACTCCCATTTTCATCCTTTATATGCTTTTTTCGGGATAAGATAAACATATGTTGTTTTTAACTCTCTTTTACAACTGTTAAAGGTGGTCAATTTCGTAATACATGACTTTTGCGTAATTTTCACCGTTTACGCAGAGCATGCAAGGAAAACTCTCATAAAGTAAAATATTCTTGCAATATTTTTCATTTCTGCTCCACTCCTATTAGGCATAGTGTGATGTTATATAACCTATAGCCATCCTCGATAAATGGACTATTCAAACACAAAAAAAAAAACAATTCGTACCAATAGTTCCTGAGATTAGCGAGTTTTAACAAACTCTTCAGTTTTATAATTGGAATAGATAACAAGCTGATAGTTTAATTTCCAAAATTGCAATTTATAAACATGACATGTACAACATAATATCGTTAGTAACATTAGTATCTCCTATAGAGCTATCTTAAATTCCAGTATAATCTCTTTAGTAATAAACACTTCATCAATCTTCGTTTACTTGATTACTACTTTTGTTGTAAAATCACCGTTGCCTTCTCCCGTCTATGACATAAATAACAATCAGCAGCATCCTGCTTACTTATTTATAAAACACATTTTCACTGTAGATAAATTTAGTATTTCCCTCTAATTTTTTTTTATTACAAGCTCTTATTTAGTTTAACCTGTTCGATGTTTGCCTGTGTAATCAAATCTTGGAAGCTTAATTAGTTTTTAGGTCTAATGACAATGTAATGTATGTAAATAGTATCAGTATTAATCCAAAATGGCCGCCGTAACAAAATGGCGGCGTTCGTATTTCTGAACAACCCACCCAATATCAAAATCAAATGAAAGGGCGTACATAGTAACAATGCATCGTACCACTATTTATTTTGTCCTAGGTATCTGCATGCAAACTTTTTGATGATCTCCAACATCATTTATTTTTATTATTCACTTTTCGTAATTTGAAATTTTGGGTAATTCAATATGCTCTTTATGAATTTCAGTTCCTGAAAATTCGTCGAGTTAGAAAAATACATACATACTTAATTTCAATCAATAGCAATTTGTTGTAAAATAGTGTTAAAATCTATTTATTATTCGTTAATCTATTTATTACCTGCTTCCGTTATTCTCACTAGTTAAACTCAATAAAAATTTGTATTAGATCATAACAAATATAATAAAGTTAAATTACTCACCAAACCCGAAAAAAAGTTTTTTTTTTATTATCCTTTATTAAATCAAGTTCTCAAGCTTTTTAAGATTTTTATTCATTTGTCTAAGCATCGAACCCATCATAACTTAGAGAACACTATACACTAAAATGCAAGCTTGTTTAAAAAAAAAACACTTTTTAAAATATATGCGACTCATTTATAATATAATATATCGCATTAGAACCGCCTATTTGTCTTTAGTTTCAATGTTGACAAAGTTTCTGATTAATATTTAAACATCAAAAAGTTTTCTAGTTGAACGAAGGAACATTTTTCTTTTTGTGTTGTGTTTTTATTGTTATATAACTATACTAGCATTCTGCTAGCTATTTCGCTCACGTAGATTACCTTGATTTTAAACCACTATTTAGGGATTAATTTTTCAAATTAACTCCTAAAATGTATTCTTAATGTAAATACGATTGTATATGAAATTATAATTTTATCTTAGACATGAGTTTAAATATACGTATAAAATATAATTAAGCTACAATAACATGTACTATAGCTACATCTATTTAACAACTTAAAGAAATGACAAACGATTCCAATATTTTATGTAAGAACTAGGACAATGAGTTCCTTTGAGCAGTATTTTTGTGTAGCGGAGTTACTGATGAGTTTCATATTTTGTGCCGTTAATATTATAAATTAAGTACCGAAATGTTCTATGCGACCTATTTCGGGATACAGTTAATCATAACATGTTAATACTATTATGAATATTGTACGGATGTAATGAATAGTATCAAAGGAATTCAATTGAAGCATTAATTAGCGAATTTTTATCTATAAAGGCAAAGGAAATTTACTATTAAAGGCTTTTTTTAATTGTTCATTTTATTTTTCAATTAGATTGTGTGTATTATTAAATAAAAGTGGGTTAAATAAACTGAAGACACTGAATCATTAATTTATATTCTTTAGCTACTATATAAAAGACATAAAAATAACAAAGAAGTCCCTAAATTACCCACATATAATAAACTCTAATAAAACTATAATAAACATTCAAGCATATAATACTAGGTACTTTGCACAATATTAGGTACTTTTAAAGTACTACTTTGGACTTTACGTAGTGATTAAATTCTCTTCGCTCCAGACTGCGACATTTAGCGTTGAATTATGTAGTATTGTGCGGTTCTTGTAAGAAATGATAAGAAGTGAGTTTAGAATTTGAATTGTTTTTCTTTTGTGTTAATATACTCGTAGAATCGGATTCCATTTTTTTGTGTTTATTTTGACAGATTGATTGATATCGTGTACCTGTAATTTTTAACCAATTAAACATGATTCCGACGACGAAATATGTCATTAATATCGTTCCAAAGCGAAAGGTTTTTGTCAAATTGAAATTGAACTGGGACTGTAATTTATATAAAGTGAAAGGTTTTTGTCAACATTGAGATTGAATTTAATTATATATTCATTTAGATCACTAATGAATTTAAATTAATTGAAATTATTGATTTATAAGTAAGCGTATATTTATATGAGGCAGGATTGCCATTTATGTTAGTTATACATATAAACAATAGTTTTAACGTTGCGTCTTGGTAAAAGTTTTGATATTAGTAATTTTCAAAATTTATTTTATCATTTAGTATTTTATTACGTTCATCTTTTTCCATTATCACGTACCTCTTAATAACTTGCTACAATTTTTACCACCGACGCGTTGCCATTTCATTCGAAATATATAAATATTCAGGTCGCAACGTTTGAGGGTTGGCTGCGGTCGACTACGACGCGAATTTTAACAAGGCAAGTTGTCTAATGTCTCAAAACGGTTCAAAATAAGATCAGCAAATACATCATTGAATATGTCATAATTTTTAACTATTATAAGTTGGTAATGAGTTTTCTTTTATTTTGCCCATTTTATGTTTGAAAAAACGGTCTCGTTATTGCCACCCTAGCTTCTATAACCACTATGACCTATAAAAAGGACTGAAATGCGGAGATACTCATTATCTCAGTCTATTTTCTGAATAAACTGTGGACATGTCAAAATAGGTATAACCGTGCGTCGCACTATTGATACCAATCATCTATTTACATTCTGAAACAGTTACTAGTTTTTTTTTAATTTGTGAGCAATAAGGCATTAATTCCGCCAATATACATCTAATGTGCATGAAGAATTAAATAAATAATCAAATATTTTCTATTGTCCCCAGAATACCTTGGCGATTTTGGATAAACTGGACATTGACAGTGAAAAACCTTCAGAGGAGGAAATCGCTAGGTTATTTGGGTATGAAGAGGCCTATTTGGCCGGAGAACTCGGCGTGTGGCAGAGGCTCAAGCCCAAGGTCTGGGCACTGTTTGATGAACCTTCAAGCTCACCACCCGCAAAGGTATTATTAAGACGAGTAGTAATTTTTCGATTGTGTTGAAAATATATTATTTTTTATCCGTATCACAGACAGTTTATTTTGCTTTGCGTCTATTCAATTCACAACAAAAAATTCAGTTCAACCTTTTTTAATTGTTGTATGCAATGATTATTATTTGGTTATCAAACTTGTATTTGTTTCGTAAAATCAGAAGCAAAATTTCATTAAAAACGAAATAAACAATGTTGGCTTTAATCCAAATTGAAAGAATCCGTTAAGTTTGTGTTTTTGCCAAAATCAATATTGAATTTCTACACCTAATTGAGTTGCAAACAACGATCCATCATAACAGATACTTGTCTTAAGTGATGTAATATATAATTGCTCATCAGAATGTTATAAAAGAAATTTTACTATCCGCTGTCATTGAAACCATCTGAGGTAAACATAGTGTATACGAGGCTACATAGTGATGTATTAATATTCTCTGATTATAATATTATTCTTACAAATTCTCTGGTTAGAATATTTATTATGAAGCGTGACTATCCTTCCGAAGTTTTATTTCAAATATGTAATAGGTAGTTGTTGTTTTCTTTTGTATTGTAGTGTCACTCCAATTTTCTGATTCGCGTCTCTGAAACGTGCAGAAACGTGAAATGTTATTTAGTTATATTTAGTAGATAAACATGTATGAAATATTTCTGTGATAAAAAAAAAGGTTAAAATGGTCACATATTTTTTTAATTTAGTTCTTTTGTTAAAACATGTTTTTTATGAAAACGAGTCACAACCCATTATGTATTGGTTACTTTTAAATACCGCACACGAAGCAAACACTAAAACTAAGTTAGAAGTACGAAGGAGTTCAAGATCATATAATTTTGGTCACTTATTCAATATTACTTCGCATCCGCATTTCACTATTGCACAATCGAGGTCCTCTAACAAAGGTGATGTTTAGTCATTTATGACATTTCAATGCAATAAAATGTTTTACTTACTAATATCATCAAAGCTGAAATAACAAACGAGGCATGGAAACACTCTCGCAGCGGCAAATTCGTTCGTTTACCCAAAAAAGAGCAAACCATAATTCATTTATAAAGTGCTAAGTTTGAAAATCGTTTGAATGTAAAACTGAAAAGGGGCGGATTATATGCTTAAGTTGACGTTTACCTAAAATTAGCATTTTTATCATGGTCAGCGCAAAATGGACGAGGGAGCTTGAAATAACTTTAAAATTCAATATAAAGAACTTGTAGATGAATATAGTATTATTTAATTTCATTTAAAAACAATAACTAATAATGGGATTACAAACATATTGCACAAACAAATATAAACCCTATCTACCTGCTGCTACATAAGAAAATTACTAAGTTATAATTCACATCATTTCTTGAAATGTTTGTGACAGCGTTAAATGTAATCGACTCTTTCTAAATGGAACCGAAAGCGTTTTCAATAAAGGAAAATTTGTTTTTGGAGCAATTCCAGTGAATATTTCATGTATTCATGGAGTTTTGTGTGATACGAACGAGTAACTGAGAATAATACGCCCACCGTCAAGCGATATTTTTCAACAATTCTCCAGATAATCACTCAGTGAATAAAATTTACCGTAACTTTCTTTGTTTATTTGGAACAACAAGAAGAACATAGGTACATCTTTAATGATAAAGTTTACAAATTTTTAGTAAACGACTAAGGCTGTGAAAAAAATTATAAATCATAAGTGGTGAGCAAAAGTCATACATGAAAAAAATAACAGAAAATTACAATACCTAATTATGAACAGTGATTTTAATATTGAAAAATGATTATATTAGATCAATTTTACATTGACAATACTATATTAGAAAATATTCTCAGTGAAAAATACTTTAATAATCCCGAGATACTTTGAGTTGGGACTCAAACCTACAACCTTTCGCCATCCGGGCGACTGTTTTCATCACTGAGCTACCCAGAGCCTTATAGGACTGACGAATCTTTCAAGCACTTTTATTTTTGTATTAACGTGCGTACTTTCATCAATTTCAGGCAATCCTCCCAAACAGCCGAAACAAACATTTTTACAAATATTTTATACTTATACGCTTCTGATGATACCTATAAAGGAACAGATGAACATACTTACATACATACCGGCCAAAATCATAACCCTCTTTTTCGCTTCCCGCCGTAGTCGGGTAATGAGCTCATTACAGCTTAAAAATAATGCCGTCAACAGGTGTTTATTACGATTCGTTATACTAAAAGAAGCTATTAAATCTCGGAGTGTTGTAAAATTTTCCTGTAAATGTAATCTGATACTCTTTAAAGTAATGTTAGGTTAATTGTGAACACCGAAGTCTTATTGCGGATTTTGGGTCAAATAAAAGTGATTCGGAACATAAAGTTCATAAAATTTTAATACAATATACCATTTTTTTTTAAATTCTTGCTTTTTTTGAAGCGTCATCCTTTCCTTTCCTCAAATTAATTTCATAGTCATTTGTGACCAAAACTTAAATTATCGTCATAATATGGAATACTCATTTTACAGTGATTAAATAAAAATTTACCTACCACTAACAAAAATTAAACCAGCTTCAAGAAGCCCTAAAATATGAATCCTCAATAATAACAAGTCAGAAAAACGATTGACAAACAATTCAAATTCTTAAATATATTTTTAATTGACGCTATAATTAAAATAGCAAGGATTCAGCAAGTCGAAAAAATATATTGAAATAAGCATTTGCTTTCAGTTTAAATCTTCAACCTAAAATATATTTTGGGAGGGTTATATTACTCGTCATTAGACTTTTAAACAGATGTTGTTTACGATTCGTTATAACGTTTTGGGTCGCTAATTTCTTTTCGGACTTTTTGAATCACTGTTTTGAAATGTCACAGTGTGAATCTAATCAGAATGTCAAAACACATTTTGAACTATACTTTCAACAAAAAAAAAATTAATACAGAGTTTGCCTTAGAATCAAATAAATACCAAAAATACTCGCGCGCATAATTATTGATATATAAATAGTAATGATGCCTGATTAGCTCGGTTGCGTAGTGGATATGCGTCGCGGCCCACGATCGTTGTTGTTAAGCAACTTTCTTAAAAGTTGGTCACGGGATGGGTGACCAAAAATAATTATATCGAACTATTATTATTACTCCGTTCTTCAGAAGGTACGTTAAATCGTTGGTTTCGACAGCATTTGCAGTCGCTAATGCCCTCCAATCTGCATTGGGTCAGCTTTGAGGGTCATGGTCCATCTTCCTTAACCATCCATAAGGAAGGCCTGAGCCCCTATTTAAAAGGGTTGATTATGATGATGCCTGGGTAAACACAAACATTTAGTCCATCATTCAACAAGAAAAGTTAACAAGAAATAACTTTGAGAATGGAGTACAGCTCGTTTCTTCACAACTATGTAATAAATATAAACAGACGTGAGGTCATGCGACATTTCAACTCAAAGTACCGCCATAATTTATCGATTACAAAAAAAATAATAAATACGTGTTTTTTAAATCGAATAATAAATAATAAATTCTTCAAAAACACGGACAGACGGACAGACAAACAAAAATTAGTCATCGTCCTTATTGTCATTCCCATATGAGATATTCAAATAATAAAAAAAATGATAACCACTCGTTTTTCTGTCCCAAATAGCAAAAGTAACGTAATTTTGCGACGTTTTCATACAAATATTTATTTATGTAGATACAATAAATATAGATACAATTATAAACTAAGATGTATATACTCCATGTTAACATAATTTTAGCAGTAGGATCCTAATAGTAATTCTCACTGAAAAGTACTATGTAGATTAGTTACATTCTTGGTATGTTGGTGGCTTAACGAACGGAGAACTTTTCTGCACTGGTTTTGCCGAAACTGGGGAAGAGATTAAGTCATTAATCAACCCCCAAAACGCCAGGCTAATAACTTGGAAAGGATGTTAATATAAAAAAATATATATTTTAGAGATCTTTTGGAAGAAAAAATGTTAATTTAAAATATTAAATGAAATTGCAAAGCGCTTTTGTGAAATATTATATATATAAATAGAACAATTAAATATAGTTTTAATCGTCTTGAGAAAATCTTCTTTGTTATATAAACTTTGTTTTTTGTTTGTAGGGGGTAATTTTCGCAAATAATGAATCGGAACCCGAACATGAATATTATTTCATCCGTGGAAAGTTACTTTTTGAGCGGGTGATATAGCTAAGTTCATAAAAGATAAAGTGCCATTAAAAAGTACACATTTTAAACCTTAAAACAATGAGGTTTGAGGTCACAATCCATTGCAGAAATTTGACATATTGTGGTAAACTGACATGCAACCTGTGTACTGCATATTGATTTGGTGATTCTGGTTAACCAAATAAATTCATCCGATTATAGTACCTACAATGTTACCTGCTGTGGTCATGAGCAGTGTCACGGATAGATTCATCTAGCATTAAATGTATATCACTAGCTTTCTGCCAGCGGCTTTACCCGCGTGGTATTGTATTATACATAAAAACCATATTTTTGAATCATCCTATCTATGAAAAAAAAAAATCCGTTACGTAGTTTTAAAGATTTAAACATACATAGGGATAGAGAAAGCGACTTTGTTTTATACTATCTAGTGATAATTTAAATATCAATATAGTATTTTGAATGAAAAACTCATTAGATATTTAAATGACTATGAATTTTCGTGCTCCAATCAAATATTAATAATTTTCAACAAAGATGTTGTTATCATTTCAATCTGGCGAATATTAGGGTAAAGATAATCGAAGCTATTGGATCTCCGAATGAGATTATTAACCAATGTCTCTCCAGACGTTTGAAAGTAGCCTTTCGATCATCCAATTTATCTATTTAATTGAAACTTAATTTCTATTTCACTTTGTATAATATTGCGAAACTATTTTAATCTTGTGGAATTTTTTTTCAATATTATTAACTAGAAAATGTTAAACATAATTGGACGAATTATTGTATAAATATATTG